TCAGGGAAGCTTGACAACTGCTAACGGTAACATTCTTATGCTGTTGGTGCTTTGACAATTGAGCTGCCTTCTAGTGGAACTGCTGCACCACAAGGCATTCACTTAGTGACTAGAAGTACATCCATATGTCTACCCTCATGTAATAAAAGGACTCATATAACCTATCCTGTGTATGAACTCCTGTCAAGACCATTTCTGAGCCTGCCTGAAAAACCGTCTATTGGATGTGAACATAAAATAACATAAAAGTAGCCTATACTTCTACAATATTTTCATACCAGTTTATTATTGATCACTTCTTAACATACACATTTAGACATATGCATAAGGTACACATTTAGGCATAAAATGGAAACCAAAGCACTTAGTAAATAAATGATAGACCTCTCTCTTCCTCCATCGTGTACTTGAACTTCATTCCATCAACATTGAAAAGGATAGTGTCGAGCCCATGGTGATGTGACCAAAGCAATGCTTTCAAAAGATTAATAAAACAGTTGCGAAATGGATTACAGGAGAGAAAAATCTAAATGGGTTACAGGAGAGATAGAGTCAATGCAGTGGTTTTATATTAATGCTGCATCCAATATTTGCCAGTTACCATCGAGGAAGGAATGTGGTGTGAAAAGAACCTTGGTTTGGTAGGTCAGTGCTCCGTAGATGTTATAGTTTCTCCAGGGAAACAGACTTGTGGGTTCATGAATGTTTTCAGTTTTTACCTCCCCTTACTTCCACATTCCACAGATGGTTACATGCAGGATTAAAAGATATAAAAGAGGGATATAAACATTTTTACAGATCCCACTTTTCCTCACCTCTCACTGTCAGCAGGATGACTGAGACTCGTGGCGACCCTAGACATTTATAGGAATGAATAGAAGTAGGGAGCTTGTGAATACTTTATGTCCCACATGCTTTCATAGGCATTATTTCACTGCATTTCCTACAATAACTGGTAAATGATATCATTATTTCCATTTAATAAATGAGAAGAATGAAGCTCAAGGTTAAATCATTTACTGGTCAAGATTTTTTTTAAAGGCAAGTTTTCGACACACCCCTATTACGGAGTTGGAGCCCTGGTGAGGTGGTGGGCTCTGTACTGAGCTGCTAACCACAAGGTCAGGGTTTCGGGCCCACCAGTTGCTTTGAACTGTAGAAGTCTCAGCTACCCAGAGGCGGGGGTTCTGCTCTGTCCTACAGTGTAGCTGCGAGTCAGAATGGGCTCCGTGGCAGTGAGTTTGCTGCTTTGAGTTGACTGCCGTGGAGTAGAAGCCTATGCTCATTGCCTGGCATGTGAACTTGAAGGGTAGAAATGGAGTATAGTGTCCACAGATTATCAGCATATATCCAGATAAGCCTTATTGTAATAATTCCCGAAAGATTAGCTGCTGGCTTTACATTTGAGTCGCAATTACCAGCAGGAACTAAACCTGACCCTTAGTTTCTGTAGTGCCTCAGACTCTGGGGAGCATACAGATCACTTCAGGATCTTGTTTGATAGCATTGGGGGCGGGGGGGCAATGGAGAGCTGTTCACCTGCATTTCTGACTGCCCCCAGGTGATGCCAGGGCTGCTCAGTTGCAAACTATACCTTTACAGAGGGTATATTTTTGTTCTAAATACTTATGAAAGGCTATAGTTACATTATGCATAGTATGTTATATACATTTTAAAATTTACCTTTGCCTCCATTTTTATCATGATGATTTTTAATGCTACTTAAAATTAATGTAGCATTCTTAGTAATTTACACCTAATCTCAGTTCCTTTGCCACTGTGTGTTTATTGAATTCCTCTGGGCATCTAGCTTTTTGCTCTTTAATTATTTCTTAGAGATAAATTCCTAGGAGTAATTAGCAAGTCTAGCTAGGGATAAGAATGACTATTTTCAGTTGTGTAATAATATTTGACCTTCTAGAAAGTCAAATTATAGGGCCAATAACATGTTTACATCACTTTTGCAGTACATACGAGAGAATATTAAAAAAAGGGAAATTTTTTTCCTCAAAGTTATGTATTTAAAGTTTTTACAAAACAAACTCATCACCTTCAAAGAACTCTCCATTACACTGAATACATTTGTCAAATCTGTGATTCCATTCTTGGAAACAGTTTTCAAATTCATCTGTTTGGATGGCTGACACTGGCTCATTTTCTTCTTAACCTCTTCTATGTCATCAAATTGCTGTCCTTTGATGTCCATTCATTTGCAGAAACAAAAAGATGTCACATGGAGTGAGGTTAGGTAAGGGACATGGGGCAAGAGAGGCATGCTGATTTTTGCCAAAAACTGGCACACTGAGATGGCTGCCTGAGCAAGTGCATTGTCGTGGTGGTAAAACCAGCCCCTGTCTGCCACAAATCAGGCCTTTTCTTCCAGTTTCATTGGGGAGTTCTCACAGATCTGATAGCAATCCATAATTCAGTTGTATTAAGCACACTTGTCTATATGTTGCCATCATCTTTCCCAAAACATTTTCTACTTGAGCTCTTGGTATCAGTTCCTCTTTTTTCCCCTCCCTCCCCCACCCTCTCTTGTGAATCTGGGATCAATTATATATTGTTATTATTTTGGATCTTACACTGTCCGTTGTCTGCCTCTAACCACATTGCTGTTATTCTTCCTCTTGGGGTGGGGGTTGGGGCGGTTATATATCCAACCTTGTGATTGGTTCCCCCTTCCACCTCCCCAACCATCCCCCTCCCCTCATGATATCACTACCCCCACTACTGTTCCTGAGGGGTATACCTGTCCTGAATTCCATGTGTCCAGAGCTCTTATCTATACCAATGTGTGTTCTCCAGTCTAGCCAGATTTGTAAGGTAGAACTGGGTCATAGTAGTAGGGGAGGAAGCATTTAGAAACTAAAGGAATGATGTGTGTTTCATTGGTACACCTTGATTGAATCAAACCTTCTGTGGGGTGATGCCCAGTTTTCTACAGATGGCCTTTGGGTCTGTCTCCACTCCAAACCCCCTCATTCTCGTCTTTTGATGCCTGCTACCTGATTCTGTGAACACCTCATGATCACACAGGCTGGTGTGCTTCTTGCATGTGGGCTTTATTGCTTCCCTGCTAGGTGGCTGCTTGTTTAACTTCAAGCCTTTAAGACCACAGACGCTATATCTTTTGATCACTGGGCACCATCCTCTCTCTTCATCACATTTGCTTATGCACCCATTTTGTCTTCAGTGATCATGTTGGGAAGGTGGGTATCAACAAGTCCCAGGTTATTAGAGCAAAATGCTCGTGTGTTAAAGGAGGCTTGAGTAGAGGGCCAAAGTTCATCTGCTACCTTAATACTTAACATATAAAAATATGTCCATTTGTCTCTCTCCCTTTCTTTATAAATTAGTGTATTTACACATATATATACCTATAGCTATACCTCTATCAATAGCTTTTGCCTCCTATTTCTTTCTTCTATTTCCTTTCACCTTCCTCCTATCCCATTATCATGCTTACCCTCCATTTGACTCTCAGTAATTCCTCTCAGATACATTGCACTTGATTAAATCCCACCAGGCATTATATGCCCTCCTCTCCATCAATTTTAGATTTCTTCTTGATCCCTTATCCCTGAATTTGTTAGCTCCCTGCCCTCCATCCCTGCCCCCTCCTCTCCCATGTCCCCCCAGAGCTGCCAATTCCATTGTTTTCTCCTGGAGATTGTTCATCTTGCCTATCTTTTATAGATAGCGTAGAGCAAAAGAAAAACAAACAAACAAAAACAGAACAAGAAACAGAACCAGTAGATAGTTCCAGGTCTGTCTGCTGACCCTTAATGTATGTTTTCCGATCAAGTCTGATGAGGTGCCAAGCTCTGTGCCCCGAGTCAGAAGTCTATTTTCAGAATTCCTCGAAGACTTGGTTACTTTGCTCCCCTTGCTGCCCTGTTGCACTCCCTTTGCATTTCACTCCGCTGTACATGGGGAAGACCTGGCACACTTTCCGCACAGTGTCTCCAGTGCTGTCCCCCATAGCACTGTGGGGCAGTGAGGGAATGGTGTGTCTCATGGTGGGGCAGGCCCTACGGTCCCCTCTGTGCACTAACTGCTCTTAGCAGGGATGTCATCCCCGGGGCTTGGTGGGTCATGATAAGGTCCATTTCTCTCTCTCTCTCTCTCCCTCCCTCCCTTGTAGTTTGCTCCTTGGGATATATCTTCAGTGCTGTCCTCTGTATTGCCTTATTCTGGGGAGGGGGTCAAAATAACTCATCTTGGGTCCTGCCTCATGGTCCTCACTGTTAGTTTGCTGCTCCGTGCCAGTGTATTGCCCTCAAGGCTTTGTGCTCAGGGATGGGGTCTGGCCCTTCTCTTCCTTTCCTGTGGAAACATAAACAATACCCTCCCCTTAGGAGTATTAGTGCCCTGTTTCCCATCACCCTCATTGTTGGTTTTTCACCCCCCTTTTTCTTCCCCTTCTCTTTTCCCCTCCTTTATAATTGGTTGCTAAATGCATCCCTGAGTTCGATCCCACCTCTGCCAAAGTGAATCAGCCTTTTTTTGTCACACACTCTTACACAATCTTTTCAGAACTTCTAAATAGAAAGCTTGATTAACAGTCTGACCTGGTGGAATGAACACCAAATGCACTATCTCCCTCACATAAAATAAAAAAAAACGAGCATTGTTTTTTGGGGGGTACCCCTTCATATTTTGCATGTAACAGTATTAAGTGTCTTAAGTTTTCTTTGAATTTTTGCTAAATTAGGCTATTCTCCACAATAATTCTTTAAGTTTGCCTTGATTTGCACTTTTACTTTAGTTAATATGAACATCTGCCCATTTGTTCTTTAATGATTATTACTCTTTGTAGAATGTGCATTCATATATTATCATAGTAGCACGTGTTTATATTAGGTTAATGATATTTTTAATTAAAAAACACTTCATTTATATTATATGATATCTTTGACAATATGTTTCTCATAGTATTTTATCATCTTTGTGATTCAGAATTAAGTAACAAGACACTATAATTTTACCTCCTACAGGTGAACTATGGGAAAGTTTGTAATCACAGTAGAAAAGGACTGAAATTCACCGTCTCCTGTGGCTGCAGTTCAGAATTTGTTTTTGTACCATATGGTAGCACCATTGCTGTTTACACAATTTACTCAGGAGAGCAGCTAACTATGCTTAAGGGACATTATAAAAGTGTTGACTGCTGTGTCTTTCAGCCTAATTTCCAGGTAAGAATGATACTTAAGGGATATTAAAGTGTTTGGGTAGCTTGCTAGGTTAACTGTATATAAAAAAGTAAATTGTGATTCTCCCCTGAGGCACTACGCTTTTAATGTGCATTTCAGCTTGGGTTTTATTTAAAATAATACAGGGTAGATTTTTAAATGGCGTGGAAGGATTATGTATGAGCCAATATAATACTGTACAACTTGAGTGGGATAAAGTTTCTTTTGCATATGGGTTCCATTGATTTAATAGTTTAAATCTCAGGCAAATTAAAATCTTTTCCTAATAAAAACTTTAGACGGAAAACTGAATTACACATGTCTAATCCCAAGACATAGGGTGGCTGAGTCAGATTGCCTCGACTGCGCACACCCACAATCTCAAGATACAGTGTGAGCATCTTGCTGTATTAAGTATGTGTGTGGCTAAAATTTTGCTATTTTCCACAATCACTAATAAAGGTTTACTTTTAAACTAATACAGCTTACATATTTTTTTAAATCTTGCGGGGTTTTTTTAAAACACCTTAACCCTTTCTTCTATTTCACCTATTTCATCTATTAACAATGACATCAGATTGTTGTCATTGTTGTTTTCTCCAGAAAACATTTACTCAAATTGCCTCATGTGCACCTTTTTTTTCTTCTTTTTTTTCCCCTCTCCTCCCCCTCCCCCTCCCCTCTCTCTTCCTCTCCATTCTCTCCTCCCTCTCCCCTCTGTCATGTGCACCTTTAAACGAGTCTCTGTTATAACAGACTATCTCAATGAAAGCTACATGCTAAAATTATGCAGTATTTGGAGCTAGCAGAGAGTTCGTTACCTGGCAAAATGCTTATTTTATCAAAACGAACATTGACTGTAACACTTTCCTTTAAGAGGCACAAGATGAAGTTTTCAGCCCAAACACACAGATTTGGTGGTATCCATCATTAAAATGTTGACATACATATCTTACTGGATGTTAAATAACTGCTGCCCCAAATGCGCTACATGACTTCCTCTAGCCTTAGCTCATTCCTTAGGGCCTACTAAACCTTACCTTACCAGCACCCAGGAGACGTCCAGGGCTCAGTTCCAACTCTGTAGCCAAGACTTCCTGTGGTCAGTGTCCTGCTGCACCATTTGTTAAATATCTTTGTCTTGCTTTGGAGAGAAGTAAGCCAGAGCACCTGAGAGAGGGGATATTACTTTCCTCAAGCCTAAAAGTCGTTATTGACAGAGCATGCTTCTTCATGTAAAGAAAATTTCAGGTACAGTGTTTCTTATCCACAGCCCTCGGCGATAGGGCCAAGATTTTAACCCAACTATCTGGCTACAAATTCCACTTTTGGAATTTCCTAAATCAGAGTTTCCTAAAAAGAGTGCTGTGCCTAGCATGCTTTATAAATAGGCCGAGATAGTGAGTCCCCACAGTCCCTGGAATATCATGCGTAGGTTTCCAGCAGCCAAGGACCTGGGGCCAGTTGCTTCCTGACAAACGCTATTTTTTTATTTATATTGTGAACTCAGAAAGGTTTGAATCACTGCAATGCTGCATGTGATATAGAAAACGCCATAATATCATGTCAGTGTGAATGGGGTGGAGTAGAAACCCAAAGCCAATCTGTAGGCAATTGGACATCCCCTTACAGAAAGGTCGTGGGGAGGAGACGGGCCAGTCAGTGTGCAGTGTAGCAATGATGAAACAGAGAGCTTTCCTCTAGTTCTTTAGTGCTTCCTCCCCCACTATCATGACCCTAATCCTACCTTACAAATCTGGCTAGACCAGAGCAGGTACACAGGTACAGATAAGAGCTGGAAACACAGGGAATCCAGGACAAATAAACCCCTCGGGACCAATACTGAGAGTAGCCATACCAGAAGGGTAAGGGGAAGGTGGGGGGAGAAAGGGAATCAATTACAATGATACCTATAACCATCTCCCAGGAGGAGGGACAACAGAAAACTGGGTAAAGGGAGACATCGGTCAGTGCAAGACTTGGAAAAAAAATTATAAATTATCAAGGGTTCATAAAGGGGAGAGGGAGGAGAAAAAATGAGCTGATACCCAGGGCTCAAATAGAAAATGTTTTGGAAAAGATGATGGCAACAAATGTACAAATGTGCTTGACTCGGATGGATAGATGGATTGTGATAAGAGCTATACGAGCCCCCAGTAAAATGATTTATTAAAAAAAAAAACGCCATCAGGAAGACTAACTCTTTCATCCTATTTCATCTATTGTAATTTCTAGAAAGGAAAATAACTGTAAATCTCAAAAGGTAGTACTTTTGCATCAAACTCCTTTCCTAATTAAACACCACTCAAGACTACTATTTGAAAGTGAAGTTGATATTATAATAATTCTGTCATAAATAGAAAACTGACACTGTGACCATAAACATATGAGGCCTAACTGGTAGCTTTAGAGAGCATTCAGTATCCATGTTCTAAAATAACCCAATACATGGAGTACATTAATTTGTTTCACTGAGGGTAGTCTTCTTACTTGTTATTGTTGGGCTCATCCAGTCGGTTCTGACCCATCACGGCCTTATGCACAATAGAATGAAACACTGCCAGTCCTGTGCCATCCTCACACTTGTTCCTGTGCCTGAGCCCATTGTGACAGCCACAGTGTCCATCCATCTCCTTGAGGACCTTCCTCTCCCTCGTTGCCCCTCGCTTTCCCAAGCATAGTGTCTTTCTCCAGGAGCCAGTCTCTCCTGTTCAGTGTATAAGACAAAGTCTCTGCATCCTTGCTGCTAAGGAGCACTCTTGGCTGTACTTGCAAGACAGATGAATTTGTTTATAGCAATCCATAGCACTTTCAATATTCTTCAGCACCCCAACTCAAAATGCATCAATTCTTCTTCGGTCTTCTTGATTCAATATCCAACTTTCACATGCACTTGAAGCAGTTGAAAATACCTTGGCTTGAGTCAGGTGCACCTTAGTCCTCAAAGTAACATGCTTGCTTTTCAGTCCTATAAAGAGGTCTTGTGCAGCAGAGTTACCCAATGCAACTCGTCTTTTGATTTTGACTGCTGCTTCCATGAAGATAAGTTGTAGATCCAAGCCAAGCAAAATCCTTGACAACTTCAATCTTTTCTCCATTTATCATAATGTTACCTATTAGTCTGGATGTGAGAATTTTGGCTAATTATTTTGAGTTGTAATCCATACTTAGCTGAAATCCTTGATCTTCATCAGCAAGTGTTTCAAGTCCGCCTCACTTTCAGCAAGCAAGGTTGTGTCACCTGCATGTCACAGGTTGCTAAGAAGCCTTCTTCCAATCCTGATGCCACACTCTTCTTCATGTAATCCAGATTCTCTGATGATTTTCTCAGTATACAGATTGAATAAGTATCATGAGAGAGTACAACACTGACACATACCTCTCCTGATTTTAAACCATAAAGTATTCGCTTGATCTGTTTGCACAACTGCATCTAAATCCAGGTACAAGTTATGCATGAGCACAATAAAGTTCTGGGATTCTCATTCTTCTCAAGGCTCTCCCTAGTTTATAATTCACATAAATGCCATAGCATAGTGAATAAAGCACAAGTAAACATCTTTCTAGTATTTTCTGCTTTCAGCCAAGATCCATCTGACAACAGCAGTGATGTCCCACGTCCTCTTTTGGATCCAGCCTGAACCTCTCGCAGCTCTCTGTCAATGTACTACAGCAACAATTGTTGGGTGATCTTCAGCAAAATTCTACTGGCATGTGAGATCAGTGCTACTGTTCTGTAATGTGAGCACTCTGTTGGGTCACCTTTTATTGGAATGGGTACAAACATGGATCTCTTTCAGTCAGTTGGCTAAGTAGCTCTCTTCCAAATTTTCTGGCATAGACTAGTGAGTGCTTCCAGTGCTTAAACAGCTTGTTGAAATATTTCAGTTTGTACCCCATCAATTCCTGGAGCCTTGATTTTGGCTAATACTTTCAGTTCAACTAATGCTTTCAGTTCTCCCTTCAGTACTGTTGGTTCTTGCTCATATGCTATCTCCTGAAATGGAATGCCAACTAGTTCTTTTGGTACCATGACGGTGTGTTCTTTCCATCTTCTCTTGATGCTTCCTGCATAATTCACTATTTTGCCCATAGAATCTTTCAGTGTTGCAACTCAAAGCTTGAATTTTTTTCTTGAGTTCTTTTAGTTTCAGACATGCTGAGCATGTTCTTCCCTTTTGGTTTTCTAATTCTAGGTCTTTGCACATTTCATTATAATATTTGGTTTTGGGTTCTTAAACTGCCCTTTGAAATTTTCTATTCAGTTCTTTGACTTCATCATTTCTTCCATTTGCTTTAGCGACTGATTAAGAGCAAGTTTCAGAATCTCTTCTGACATCCAATTTGATCTTTTCTTTCTTTCCTGTCTTTTAGATGGCTTTTTGCTTTCTTCATTATTGGTTATCTTGATATCTACCCACAGGTCATCAGCTCTTCTGTCATTAGTGTTCAATGAGTCCGATCTATTGTTGAGATGTTCTCAAAATTCAAGTGGAATAGACCCACGGTTGTATTTTGGCTCTCGTGGATGTTTTCATTTTCTTGAGCTTTATTATGAACGTACATATGCCCAGTGGATGATCTGTTCCACAGTTCTTAATCAAAGATCTATATCCAAAAAACTCAAGTGCATAACTAGGCAAAATTGATTCTGAGCCCTGTCCAGAAGCAAGTAATAGCATTAATGGTCTTCTTTTTTGCTTTTTTTTTTTTTTTGTTATATATTGCATATACCCCATTTTTGGTTGTATTTTTTATTAGTTTAAATTAAAACTAAATATTTGCATAACCCTAGGGTTTATAAATCCTAGGGTTTATAAACATTGTGCTGATTCATACATATGTCTTAACAAATATAGTTTTATAAAACTGTGATTTTATATCTTAGCCCAAATATTTTGGGGAACTTTTTCACATCACAGTTAAAAAAGAAAAAGAAAAAAATTCCATACCTACTCGATATCCAAAACATTAAATGTTACATTATTTGAATTAAAAATATATGACCCTGGATTTCAAATTATTACAGTCACTGAACCTCTCCCTCATCAGAGGATAAGTTTTAATGGGAAGCAGATAGTTAGCAATCAGGTATTATCTGTTTCACTTATTTCCATTCCTCCTGAAATAATTTTTGAAGCTTGTTATATTGTATTTCCATTTTTAGAACCATACCCTTGGGGCATCAAGGTCAACTGACATAGTCCACAAAGAATGTTCTAAGCCTATTTTGGTGATGAATAACTGGGATCTTAAAAGCTTTTGAGCAGGTCAACTATTGGTCTCTCCCATCTGGGACAAAAAAATCTACCGCCACTGAGTGTATTCTGACTCATAGAGACCCGATAGCACAGAGTAGAGTTGCCCCCTTTGGGTTTCTCAAGCTATAAATCTTTATGGGAGCAGTAAGTCTCAGCTTTCATTTTCGGAGTTCCTGGTATGATTGAACTGTTGACCTTGCAGTTCATACCCCCTTACACCACCAGAGCTCTTCAGGACAAAGAAGAATAAAGAAATTCCAAGTTACGTGGAAGCAGATAGTCCAAAGGAATTATAGAAGGCATGAACTGTAGCCTTCATGACCCAGAGACCATAAATGACCACTTATGATCATAAGTTTTAATTCAAATAATTTAATATGCCTAGATATGCCTGTCTATGGTGACCAACTTTTCTGAAAGAGATCACAATAGAGGATTCTGTTTAGGAGAAAAATATAAAGCAAAACTCAAAATCATAAAACTAAAAAACATCAAGCCTATTGGTCTGACAGAGACTGTTGAAACTCCCCAAACCTCAGACATCTTTCAGGTCTGGAACAGAACTAGCCCCTATGGGTCAACTCACAGCCAAACAGCAGATGACTTAAAAGGTAAACAGTAACAACAGAAGGGTACGTAGTCCTTAGAACAATCAACCATATGAAAGCCAAAGGTCGTATTTGCCCAGGGGATAAAGCTCAGAAGGCAAGAAGGAGCAGGAAAGAAGAACAAATGGACTTGGGTGGTAGGTGCCATCAAGTCAGTTCCAGTTCACAGCGAAGAATGAAATATACTCCATCCTGCGCCATCCTCCCAATTGTTATCTTTGATCCCATCGTGAAGAGCAAATCGATCTTGTTGACAGGCTTTCTCTTTTCTTCTGCCATTCTACCTTTCCAAGCATAATGCCCTTTTCTAGGGATTATTTCCACCTGATAGCATTCCGAAAGTACATGCGGTCAAGTCTAACCAACTTCGCCATCTTCACTTCTGAGGAACATCTGGCTGTACTTCTCCCTAAGCAGACTTATTTGCTGTTCTAGCAGTCCATGGTGCTTTCAATATTCTTTGCCAGCAACATATTCAGACTCATCGATTCTTCTTCGGTCTTTCTTCCAACTTTCACATACGTATGGAGCAGTATCATGGCGTGGGCCAGGTATACCTTAGTTCTCCGTTAGATCCCTGCTCTTCAACAATTTAAAGAGATCTTGGGTAGCATATTTTCCCAGTGCAGGATGTCATTTGATTTTTTAATTGCTGCTTCCATGAGCACTGACTTTGGGTTCAAGCAAGATGAAATTCTTGACAACTTTAATCTTTTTACCTCTTTAACATGATGTTATCTGTTGTTCCAGTAGTGAGGATTTTGGTTTTCTTTATAGAGTTGCAATCCATACTGAAGGCTGTGGTCCTTGATCTTCTTCAGCAAATGTTTCAAGTCCTCCTTGCTTTCAGTAAGCAAAGTTGTATCATCTGCTAATCCTGTGGTCTAATTCTGTTGCACCTTTGGAAACCATTTTTGGCAGTTCTCTTCTATTTATGGTTGCTATCCACCAGAATTGATACAATGGCAACAAGTAGAACCCAATCTTAAATATCAAGCTACTAACTCTCCACTAAAGGTAACTGCTCGTAGAAGAAGATTGATTACAGTACTCATACACTATGGACTTAGAAAATCTCGTGTTCAAGGAATGATAGGTACATTTCAAACTATTAAAATTTGGAATAATATGAACAACAAAATAAATAATGATTAGTGGGTGAAGGGAGACCTCGGACAGGGCAAGATATGACAAAATAATAATTTATAAATTATTAAGGGCTCATGAGGGAGTGGGGAGCGGGGAGGGAGGGGGAAAATGAAGACCTAATGCCGGGGGCTTAAGTGGAGAGGAAATGTTTTGAGAATGATGAGGACAATGAATGTACAAATGCACTTTACACAATTGATGTATGTATGGATTGTGATAAGAGTTGTATGAGCCCCTAATAAAATGATTAAAAATAAATAATGATGATAATCTATTGACTGAAATAGAAATCCTTGAACACATGCTGATATAAAAATAAAATTAAAAATTTGATGAAGAATGGAATAAATTACATAGTCTGAAATTGCCACCACATAAAAAGTTATTGTTTATAGTGATAAGACTGGAAATTTTATCTCGACAAGCCTAGCAATCACATTAATCAAATGATCATAGTTAACAAACCAATAGGGATACGTCACAACTTTTAGGCAAAAGATGCCATACCTCAGTATAATGAAGAAGCATTAGGCAAACCAAATGAGGGGCTTTCTCCAACTATTGGTATGTGACCTTCAAAATTGTTGCATTCAGGAAAGACTGGAGAGCTGTTTGTGATTGAAGGAGACTAAGGAGACAGGACTAGTAGGTGTACTGTAATACATGATTTTAAACTATATACTTTTGCTAAAACAAAAAAGACATTATTGAGAGAATGACTAAATTTGAATGGGATATCAAAGTTATATGGTAGCAATATGTGAATTTATCTCACACGTGGACATGTAATCAGGAGGGGTATTCACTGAAGAAGACATCATGCTTGGCAAAGTCGAGTTCAGCAAAACAGAAGGCCCTGGTAGAAGTGGATTGACACTGTGGCTGCAACAGTGGCTCAAACTGCACTAAGTGTGTGCATGACGCAGCGCTGGGCAATGTGTCCTTCAGTTATACAGGCTACTGGGATTCAGAACACACTGGAAGCGCCAACATCAGCATTGCAGTTACATAGACGGTATCTGGGTTCCTTGGAAATAGTGCACTAAACTGGATGAGGTGATGGGCCCTGATGTTAGCAATGTACACCCATATTGTTTGGGCAGGGCCATTCTTTATAGTGCACTTGTGATCATTTTTAATAAAAAATAGTTTCCAGATGAACCCCTGTACCTATCGTAAAAAATTCCAGGTTCCATTCAAATCTTTTAATCTCTGTAACACCTTCATTAATCATTACTAATTTATAGTGTTGTGTCTTACAAATCTTTTTCTTGAATATCTACAGAATCTCTTCTGTGTCCACTCATATTTTACTTCCTTCAATCACCTCCTAAAATTGTCTGATTAAATGTATTTTAGGTATATATCTCACCTCAGGGGATCGACATCTGAACATATCTTTGCAAAGTTCACTTAGTGTAACCATATGTTCTAGATTTTACCATACACTTTATAGGCTTTTTCTCTATTTAGGAAATTTGATAATACAAAACTAAACCTAATTTAGTTTAATTTTTTTACATCTGTAAGCTATTTCCTATAGTTAACTTCATAATCTTATTTTCTCTTTACTCAACAAAATAACTCATTGTATCATGTTTCAAATCATCTTGGGTCTGTGCAGTCATGAAAGTAAAGAACTGCATACTAACGACAAAAACAAAAACCCAGTTCCATCCATCAGTTCTGACTCCGTGACTCTATAGGGTTTCTGACGCTTTGTAACTCGTTTCACAACCAGCGACCTTACCTTTCTCCCACAAAGTGCATATTAGGACAATTAATAGTTTACTTTTTGCGTAGAAATATCTGTTTGTGAGGAAAATGACAATCACTTGGACACTTAGGTTTTGCACCCACTTAGCATACGGTAAAAATAATCTTGAATTTCCTGTGTCTTTCTGGTATCTTCCTGATACAAGAAAGTCTTTCTTCGGATTAGAGAGCAAAGAGTAGAAGGGCATTGAGTCCAGTTTCTCTGGGAAATAAAATAGAATTTAATCTACCCTTAAATCATTTTGAAACTTGATCTAGGCCATTTCAGATTTTGTTACCAGTTTTAAATTGTTCCATAATTAAATCTTTTCTGTGTTAATAGGAACTTTATAGTGGTAGCAGAGATTGCAATATTCTTGCTTGGGTGCCAGCCGTATATGGACCAGTTCCTGACGATGATGAGGTAAATATTATTTGTATAAATTATAAATCGTAAGAAATGAAGTTTTATTAACTCACATGAGTGTTTAAGGCCCGTATCACTAGCTCCCTATTATAAAATTAGCCTGTTATAATACATCTGAAAATTTCAAAAATGGAAAGAACATCAAGGTTCTAGAGTTGAATTGATCTTTGCTATTTACTTCCTATTGTCTCCTCTGAATCCGGGTTTTTAATTTTCATCATAATTAATATCACACTTGGACATATAGCTTGTTATCCTTCTTTCCTCACCATTGTACAATCAGCCTTTTCCCTGTCATTGATAACTATTTGTAAACATCATTTTTAATAATATAGCAATGTGTTATTTATATACTATCTTCCTTAAAGATATTCCTGTTTATTATAAACAAAATCAAAGTCAACATCTGTTCATAAACTGTTTCTGATTATTTCCTTGCCTATATTTCCTAAAAGTAGAATTATCTCTTGAGTTAACATTTATGGTCATTAGACCATTTTTTACTCCTACCAGTAGTCTAATAATGTTTGTCTCAGAATATGGTTTGTTACTACTTTTTTCTTACTACTTGAGTAGTGAAAGTGTTTTGTTTTTTTAATCATTTTATTGTGGGCTCATACAACTCATCACAATGCATACATCCATCCATTGTGTCAAGCACATTTGTACATTTGTTGCCATCATCATTCTCAAAACATTTGCTTTCTACTTCAGCCCTTGGTATCAGTTCCTCAATTTTACTCCTCCCTCACCGCCCCCGAGTAGGGAAAGTTTTAATGTGCTTTTTGTTAATACTTAGACTGTTTCTACTACAGATCTTTACAAATCTCTAGGGGTAGATTACTGAAATGGTTTAATCCATATATAATGTAGAGTTTATGAAGCAGTGCATACAATCTAATATAGTTTAAGTTAATGTTTATCTCATAAAACTATGTGAGATATATCTTTTATCATTTTTATTTGTATTGGGAAAGGCTAGCATTTTTGTCTCATATTTTATAAAGGACTAAGATGACAATCAAGATAATACTCTGTCTTTCACTATGGTTTCTGAGACAAAGAAAGGAATTGAATGCTAATAAAAGCAACATATACCACCGTACCACACCCCCTTACAGAATTACTATCCATCCATCGGAGGGACCCTCAGGATGTAGTGGGTCACGTGTTCGGCTGCTAACCACAAGGTTAGCATTTCAAAGCCACCAGTTACTCCGTGGGAGAAAAAAAAGATGGTTCTTTTAAACTCTTGTACATTGGATGCACACTTGAAGAGCAGATTGAGTTAGTATTTTAAAATCATTTCACCTCAGCTATCAAATAAATAACTACATTTTCCAGGGAGACAAAGTAGCACGGTTTAAAAACATGCACACATACCAACACAGTCTTTAGTTTAGAGTAAATATGCATTTTAATTTAAATTATGCCATTCTTTAGCTTTGTGACCTGGAACAAACAAGTTCATGTCTCCAAATACTATATTCTTTTTAAAAAAAATCATTTTATTTGGGGCTCATACAACTCTTATCACAATCCATACATACATCAATTGTGTAAAGCACATTTGTACATTCATTGCCCTCATCATTCTCAAAGCATTTGTTCTCTACCTAAGCCCCTGGCATCAGCTCCTCATTTTCTCCCCTCCCTCCCTCATGAACCCTTGATAATTTATAAATTATTATTTTGTCATATCTTGTCCTGTCCAACGTCTCCCTTCACCCACTTTTCTGCTGTCCATCCCCCAGGGAGGTCACATGTAGATCCTTGTAATCGGTTCTCTCTTTCCAACCCACCAAATACTAGATTCTTTTAAACAAAATTGTTCCTTTCAACTTCATTCTTGCATCAAGATTTACTTCATCGACCAAGATATAAATCTATCAGGGCTGTTTCCTCTGACACCCAACCTGGAGGAGCAATTTAGTTCAGACAATTTAGTTCAGCAATTTAGACAGAAAGACACTGTGTGATAGGGAGCCCTGGGGGCATAGCCAGCTGTGCACTGAACTGCTGGCACAAAGTGATTCGGACCCAGCAGCCTCTACCAGGAGAAAGGTGAAGTGGTCTACTACCCCCATAAAGATGGACATCCTATCAGAAACCCCAAGGGGCACTTCGACTCTGTCCTATAGAGTCACTGTGAGTTGGAATCAACTCAATGGCAGGGTCTAGTTTGTTTTGGTGTTTTGGGTTTTATTGGAAGCAAAAATCTATCATTCAGTTGACAGGCTGTTTTATATTCTGAAATGTCTGGCTTCCTATTGCTTCACTTCCCAACTCCCCAACTCGTAGTCATGTTCAAGGCATGTCTCTCTGTGTCCCCTTCCACTTTACCTTCTTGAGATTTTTTTTTTTTTAACCTTCTTGAGATTTTTAGCAATAGGTGCTTTACAGTTTGAATCTAACCTCTCACCAAGAATCTTACTTAATTTTGACATAGCTATTCTACTTACCACTTGTATCAAAGTATAGTCACTGATAAAGACAACCCTTTAGAGAAGTTTCAATAATTTCCAGTAAGATATTTATCAAGATAGATCCCTGGTAGATGGTAAGGATAGCTTTATTCTGCATTCCAGTATGTGGATATGCACAAACTTTTAAATCTCTGACTTAATAATCTTCGCAACTATTTGTCAGGTTATGAAATACAGATGGCTATGTTCAAGCGTAGAATGGATGTCCACTAGAATGGATGGTGTTCCACTTGATCAGATAGCCTCAAACAGTAGTGTTTGTACACACACCCATCTGTAATATTTTCACAGTAGTATGTAACTATGAGTATGGCATTTGGGATTAGCAATAAAATATTTGTAATAATACTGCAACACCCTCATATTTATTATCTTTGCTTTACTATTATAAACAGTGACATTTATATGCCACTGTCTTATGATTTTCACTTAATTTTTATTTTTTCTGCTCACCCTGGCAACAGTAGTTTATAATAGAATACAAATTTGCTTCTCTGTTGAATCATCAAATGAAATAAAGATGGTTACCTGATTAATGTTAAAATTTTATGTTAAAACTGAGTTAAACATTTTTTCCATAGTAGAATTATGCGCCATGACTTTCCTTTGGCTTATCTACCTGGATATTTTCCATGGACATATAAGGCAGAGTCTAAAGATTTCTTAAAACAGAGGAGGAGAGAGTAGTTTCCTGACCTTCAAGGCCAATAAGCCATTCGATAAATAACCTTATTTAGTGTTTAAATTATAAAAGGTCAGCAATTGAAGTTAGTATTTGGATGAAGGAATGAATGTCACTAGACAGTTCATGGAAACATGTGACCTGCTGTTGGGAATAAGTGGGTGATTAAATATAGTTAGGTGATAGTTTTGTTATTTGGAGATTTGGGTTGTAAGGGAGGATTGGTTTTGCACCTAGGCCCTGATCTATTTTACAATTACTAAAAATATTCAAATTAATATATTTTTTCCGACTATTTTAGCTGAGACTTAGTGGATTCACTGGGACCATCCATTGTTTTCCACTGAGATGCTTGTTTGAATTATAAAAATCTAAGTTCATATTCACCAAAAAGGAAATAAACATTCTCAGTCATAGTAGGGATTGGGTTACCCTTCACAAAAAAATATTGATATATGTGTTAAAGTACAATATTGTATATCTAAGGTAGTATCATAGTAATACATTATTGATTAAGACCTACAGAATAAGAGGCAAAACCTGGCTCCTAGAGCTCAAATAAAATGTAAAAAAAATTAAATGAAAGAAGCCCATCTTAAAACCTTTTGCTTATTTGCCGTAGAATAAGGAAGTATCCATTCAGAAGGAATTTCCTAACAGTTTGACTTTCAACCTCACAAATAATTTAAAGTTAAAAGACTTTTGGGATATAGTCTCCTCCTATATGTATATGGGGAGACTCTATTAAAGGAGGCAAGTATTATGTGAATAAAGTCTGCTATGTCTGTTGAAAATGAAATTGTGAGGCACCGCTTAATTATTTTGTTTTTGAAATTGGCAACTACCCAATTGCTTTCCAAATAATCAAATTGCTATTTATTTGATTTAATTTCATAACTAAACTTTATTTAGAGCCTAAAACTATGAAGTAGAACATAACATCCTTTTGTCCTTTTTTTTTCTAGAGTACAACCAAGTCCAAGTCCAATCCGGCATTTGAAGATGCCTGGAGTAGCAGTGACGAGGAAGGGTGACTAGCGATCATTAGGACTTTGTGTATTCGTTGGTGAAGCGTTCCACATGTTGACTGTTAAATTGTTTTTAACTTTCCAATGTATTTCTACAGCTAAATTAACCGAAAATTTGGGTGATTTATTCCCATGTCGTAAAAGAGGTCAAATGTGCATGAAAAAACCCTAAAACAGACTTTTGTGTAGGCTGTTTCATCAGTGTCTCTTTGATCTCAGTTACTGTTGTCTGGGACAGCCCTGTGGCTCCACTACAAGGTGGCCTGTCACAGTGCCCATGTGGGACCTTGAGCAGATTAGATGCAGTCTCAAGGTCAGCACTTGGAGGTTATAACATGGACTTTCTCCTACTCACTGTACCATCTCCTGCTCATTTTCACCTTTGAGGATAATTCTACCAAGTATGAGTACATCAAAAGTAATCATTGGAAAGATGGCATCAAACTTATTTTATTCTTTGTTATCCATTTATTCATTCTTTGCAGTGACTGATTTAGTCGACATTTTTTAGCTTTATTCTAAATGGTTTTTAATTCACTGTCTCCCACAGCCTAAAAACCTGTACCTCTAGAGATTTTTGTCTTAGGAAAAATACCGTATTTATTGTATTATAATGTGAATATTATGTTTCACAAGGCAGCTTATACTTGTATTTTAACTGTTCCCTTTATGTGGACTTCATTAAAATGTAACCAAGTCCTCCTTCATTTATCAAAACAGATAATCACATTTGTGACATGTGATGTCACAAAATTTCTATTTTGCTATCAACTCTTCCATGTCATAACTCACAAGTGAATGTCATGAAGCTAATCATATATTGCCTTTCTTTGTAAGCTAAGGACTATTAAAAGATTTCTGTGACTATAAACACCAAATTTACAGTTGTTTTCTTGGTAAGGCTGCTCTGGCCGTGCTGGCAAAGGGGAGGGACTGGGCGCAGTCTGGAGCCCCAGGGATACCGGCAGGGCTGTCAGTGAAGATTTGTCCTGCCAGATCCACTGGCCTCTTGGGCTCTCAAGCAATGCTTGGCTAGAGGCAGGGCGCTCAGCAATTGCCGGACGTGGGTGGTACAAGCAGCACGGGCTGCAGGGTCCACAGACGATCTAGGCTCCAATGGGGGGCAGAGCTCTCCGTGGCCGCAAATGCTCACGGGTGACTCGAGCAGCCCAGGCAGCGCAGATCAAGCCTGCTTGATCCACTCCCCCTAGGGGGATAGATAGGGGTGTGTGGAGGGGGGGCGGCGGTGTTTCAAGGTGCTCCTTAGTTGAAGGCTTCAAGTGGTGTGAACAGCATGGGCTGCACGGACCAAGCCACAGCCACAAATCACGAGTGGCACAAGCAGTGGGTGCAGCAGTGCCGGCTGCGATGTCTAGGATATTAGGCCTCAAGACTTGGTGGCAGATGGGGGTCAGGTCAGATCAAAGCCAGGAGAAAGATTTGCCCATGTGCTTGGGCAGAGCCCTGGGGTGCTGGGAGACCCAATCGCGCGTCCTGGACCCCCAACTGAACCTCCCAATCCCCAAATCCAGCTATCACACATGGAGTTCCCAACACAGTTACCCATTCGTCGTTGCCATCTTCTGGATTTTTAATCTATTTTTCTCTTTGTGTCTAATGTATGTTTTTTGTATTGCGTTTAGTTGCATACTTCATAAGTTTTTGTGCTTAGTTTATTCGGTTTGTAGTTTTCCTTTTTGCTGCTATTTAACTGTTTGCTAGGTCTTTGGATTTTTCTTTTTATTTTGATGAGGTTTATCTATTTTCTTTTAGATTACCTTACTAATCAATTTCCTTCCAAATTTAACATAATTTGTTATCCTTTGAAATCTAAATGCCTTCTCTGTTCTAATCTTTTATAACTACATAATTCCCTCTTTTTCCTTTGAATTGCCTTCATTATAGATTAACATCTCTGGTTTCCTATTTTCAGTCTTGTTAAGTTTTTATTACTTTACTAGGATGATTGGGTTGACTTCTGGGCAGTGCCATCTGGTGTGTTTTTGGGTCCATCTAAAGAACTCCCTTTAGCATTTTTTACAAGGTCGATCTTTTTCAAATTCTTTTTAATTTATTCCTATTTGAAAATGCCTTTATATTGAACAGACAGTTTTTCTGCATAGATCTTGTTGGTTGGCATATTTTCCCTTTCTGAGTTTGCTGCTTGTTTACCTTCAAGCCTTTAAGACCCCAGACGCTATATCTTTTGATAGCC